CTCTCCAGCTCGAGTCTCACCTCGTTCCAAAAACCTCCCCGCCGCTCTTGTCCTCACCAGCAGAGGCAGGAGGTGGCCCTTGATGTGACTAAACTCTGAGCACAGAGGGTCTGCCCACCCATCTGGACATTCAGCCAAGTATGGCTTCTTTATTTCTCTCCTCTGCTTTCCTGGGGAGGTCAGCTGTTCTCATGAACAGGGGCCTAGTGTTTTTCCTTTTAGATTCCTAGGGATGCCCAATTAGGCAAGGTAAAGAAAGAGCATCTTTAAACGTTTTTTAGCAGTTCTTCCTTAAATTCTCCTGGCCTCCATGCCTGTGCTGTGAGTTCCCAGGGGTAGAATGAGCTAAACTTGGCATGCAAAAAGAACCAGGAATGTCTCTGCTAAACTTCTTAAGTAAGGAGTCTCTAGAGAAGGCCAGACAGGGGTTGAACAGTCACCTCAAGGACTCAAGGATCCTGCCCTTTCTAAGACTCTGATGTTCCCTGCATCCAGGAATGCTGTGGTAGAAAAGCCCTGGAGTTTAGGAGTCTTGGCGTCTGACGCTGGCTCTCAAAGTGACCAGATGTGTGACCGTTAACAAATATATTCCCCATTCTGGACTTCAGTTTCATCAGCTGTGAAATGAATGGTTTGAATTTGATATTCTCACTTCGACCCTAGGAAGGAGAATTGGACTCATTGTTTGTGGATATATTCCAAAATATATCATATTTTTCAAGAATAGAACTCATTTATAATTTTCTGGTCATCTCACAAATTCTTTGGCATTCTTTTTCATAAGAAGCATGGAACTTCTTTCACGCTTCGGGAATTGCTGGAGTGATCACTACACTGCCTTGTTTAGTGTCATTCCAATTATTTCAAAAATTGTAGTCAGTAGGCACAATCTCCAAAAGCTTTACTGTAAATCTGCCCTTATACTTTAGTTATGGAAACAGTCTGATTTTACAAAATCACATCTTTATCCTTCTGTAAAAGACAATGTGTGTATCTGTTTGCATACTGAAAGTATTTAGAGAACAGAATATATACACATGGGCACAAGTGCCATTTTCTGGGGCTTACCACCAGTTTTTGGAGAAGCCACCAAGTGGGCAGCCAGTTGGATGAATCTGAGCATGGCATGGTATTTGTCTCTTACTCACTTTGCAAATGTGGATATTAAGCCTGTTCAGGTTTAGCCTTAGCTTATGCAATAGACATAAACAGGTCCTCAGATTTCAAGTCTTGGCGCTCAGATGCTAAAACGTATTAATGGTTTTACCAGAGCAGACTTCTAGGAAGAGGATCTATAAATCAGTTAAATCTCTTTGGATGGAGAGGGGAAGTCTGCAGGCAGCAGCAGCATGAGTTAGCACTGATCTCACAGATCACATGATCATGGAAACTACTTAGTGTTCACTCAAAGAACCGTCTCACTACAACTAGGAAAAAAAACCAGGAGAGGTGGAATTCACAGGACATGGCACTCCATGATTTTCTACATATACAGGTATTTTCATTTCACTTGGTAACAACACAACAGTCTCATTCACTATAAAATTACAAGCAGACACTAATATCGGGAAGTATTACAGATAGTTGAGTGAAAAACTGATACACTTTAGGCTGAAAAGCAGAGGGGGGTTGGTTGTCGAATATAAAGAGCTCCTATTTAATACAATCAACTCGTTTTGCATTTTTAATGAAAGGGGTGAACATAATGACAATAAATTATATCATTGTTAACTTTTTAATCCAAATGCTAACCTTCCAGATTTAAGAACGTAATATATGATTTTACATAAAAAAAATTTAAATGGCCTTCCAATGCCTGTTTGGTTTAGGCTAATATTTTAATTAATTTTATTCTCCAAGAGCATTCTGAGTAAATTGTAGGGTAAGTCTGTTGGGTGATAAATGGGAAGAAATAAGTAGGTTTTTGAAATGCCTCTTTCAGGGAAACAAAGTTACTATACAAAGTAAATTTTGCTGCCAAAAATAAGGCATTGACTATATTTGGAGGGGAACAGGCCACACAGGGGCTACTTAAATAACCTTGTAAGTGTGCTGCTCTCAAATTAAATAAGAAAAAGACAAGTCCACACTATAGCTTTGCACATTCGTGAGAAAAAAAAACAGATTGAGAAACAACTATCCCGTTGCCCAGATTCATGCTGGCTGGGAACAGGCATGGGAAAATGATCAGTACTTCCAGTATCACAAAGATGCTCCAATTCTGGAGTTTCCAAAACCCTAAACTCATCTTCTGACCGAAGACTCAGCCACCCTTCCCTTCATGCATCTACCAACAAATCTCATGGCCTTGTTTGAACAACCATGTTATTAGGCACATAATGCATACTGCGCTGTAAGAAGTACCAAGGAATAATTCACACAAAGGAAAATGAAAGTGGAGACAGCCAGGTTTCTGGATACACAAGTCAAAGAAAGAGGTTTTTCTTGTCCAGGCACACTACGCACAGTTCCTAGTCCATCCTTTTGGCAACTTGTGTGGTTGAAAGCATCTTCCGGGAATCGTCTCATTGGCTTCTCACAGCCACTCTGTCGGAAGGAATCACAGGTGTTACTTTTGTCCCCTCAGAGAGGCTTTGCCCAGGGCTACACAGGTGACAGAGTCAAGGCTGGCTCTCAGATCTTCCAATTCCAAAATACCAAACTCCAAAACTCAAAACATCAAACAAGGGAGGCAGCTTAGAAAGTGGGATGAGCCTTCAATAAGCCTGTAGGGTCGCTGAAGCTCACTGCTTGGTCTGACACTATTCATCTGTATGTCCCCTTCCTTCTTGGGTGCCCAGGTTTCCACAGTCTTCTGGAAGATACATCTGACCTGCGTCCCCTGCCACATGACTTCATTCACACTGAGGACTAGAAATGTGTGGCTTATGCCTCCCAAGAGGAACCCTGTTTTAGAAGCAAAGCAATTCTTAATCCAAAGGAACAATGACTAGGATGGGGTTCAGGCACCAGTAACAAGGATATCTTGCCCTCGAATCACATCGATGAGGATTCCTTACCACACTCTCTGGTTAGGAGGGAACTCTTCATCACTTACATTTGAGGGCTGGTGAAAATGGAAAAATGAATGAAGGCCACATCCAGGAGGTATTGTGACCAATTTCAAAGATGCTATGCTTCACAAACATGGAGGCATGAGAGGGAAGGGAAGGACTTAGGGGAACCTAATTGTTCCAAACTGAAATAACAGGTGGGAACAGTGTCATCCGTATACCTGGAGAGCCTGACCCCTGCCCTGAGCTGCGTTGAGCCCCACATGCTTCCAGTTTTGTCTTCCTGTTTTGACTCTCCCCCAACTGCACCTCCCTCCCCACCAAAAGCAAAAGGTCCATGGAGCCAGGGGACATGACTACCCTGAATCCAGGCTAACCCCTCTGGACTTAGTACAGGTACCCAGAACCCCATAATTCTCTGTCCAAACGGCATCCACGGTCTATGTGTCTTCTTCCCCAAGCCAGTCCTTCTGATGCAGAGCCTTACCACCTATGTGCAGAGCTCTGGGCCTGAGGGTGGCCATAGAGCAGGGTGGGAGGAAGCGTTTGCACAGAACTTGGCCATGAATACTGTGATGTCGATGCATATGCATGCAAGGCTCCTTGCCATGAGAGATAAGAGGAGAAGGTCTTCAGGAGCCTCGTGTCTGTTCTGTATTCTTGCTCCAGCCTTGCAAATGTTAGGCATGAACACTAGCTGAAGAGTATTCCCAGAGGTGAGCTAGATCTGTGTCTGATCAGTAGCGGGAGGGCCCAGAGACACCCTCACACTACAAAGACACGTACTGCAATCCTAGATACCTACTCCAGTTCTTTTGTGGAAACTCCCTTATTTCTATCTACACCACACATTTTCCTTGGTTTAATTTAAATTTCATTTTGCCAACTAAATGTCATCAACATACATAGGTTTTACCAGTACCTACTGGTGTATAAATCAGACATTCAACAAATGCCTCTGGCGATAGTGTCTGGTCACATGCATTTTAGAAATTCTGAGCTCCTTGAACAGTGTTCACAGAGTGGTCCATTTACTCTGCCCTCTGCAGCAAACAAAAAGTTCCAGGTTGATGTGCATCCGAGCACACCGGTCAGTGTCCCCAGGGCCCGGCCTTGTGTTTAAACTTTGCCAAGTCCAGGGGGTTATTTCAGTCTGATGCAGTCCACCTCTTCGGTGGCAGGCATCCCAATTGTCTTGAGGTCCAGGTCTGCGCTGGACTTACCGTTGTGAGAAGCCTTCCAGTGGAGCCGCAGGATCTTTTTGAAGTACTTGACTGTGTTGTTCTTGACGGTCACGAAGCACAGGGTGTTGATCATGCTGTTGCTCATGGCGATGCACTCGACGATGTAGAAGGCGGTGAGGTAGTGCTTCTCCTTCACGAACACGGTGGGGAAGAAGTCGCGCACGATGGTGAAGCCGTAGAAGGGTGCCCAGCACAGCACGTAGGCGGTGAGGATGCACATGAGCACCAGGACCGTCTTCCTGCGGCAGCGTAGCCGCTTGCGGATCTGCTCGGTCTGGAACCCAGGGACCGCCTTGAACCAGAGCTCCCGGGAGATCCTGGCATAGCACAGGGTCATGGTGACCACGGGGCCCACGAACTCCACGCCGAAGATAAACAGGAAGTAGGACTTGTAGTAGAGCTGCTGGTCCACAGGCCAGATCTGGCCGCAGAAGATCTTTTCCTGGCTCTTGACAATGACGAGGACCGTCTCGGTGGTGAAGTAGGCGGAAGGAATGGCGATCAGGATGGACACCGTCCACACCAAGGCAATCAGGCCAGTGGCTGTCTGGCATTTCATCCGTGGTCTCAGCGGGTGGACAATAGCCAGATACCTAGGGCAAGAACACACGTGGAGGCAGCCACTGTGAGGAAGAAGCGCTGGATGATTTTTATTTTTATTTTTTGAAACAGGGTTTTGCTTTGTCCCCCAGGCTGGGGTGCAGTGAGTGCAGTGGCATGATCATAGTTCACTGCAGCCTCAAACTCCTAGGCCAGAGCAATCCTTCCACCTCAGCCTCCAAGTAACTGGGACTAGAGATACAATGCACCACACGTGCTAATTTTTTTTTTTTTTTAATTTTTTGTAGAGACAGAGTCTCTGTATGCTGCCCAGCTTAGTCTCAAATTCCTGGCTCAAGCAAATCTCCTGCCATTTCATTTTGCAACATTCTAAGGAGCAACCAAATGGTATGCATGGAGAAAATTCCCAATGGTATGTGGGCTTCTGCAAAAGACCGACTTGAAGCAAACCCCAGTCTCTTCTCTAACTAGCTGTGCAACCTCAGGCAAGTTTGGAAACTGACCCTTAGTTTCCTTATCTGCAAAAGTTTTGTTGGCTGTTAAGTGTGATAATGTATGCACTATGCCTGGCACAGTTTTAAACCTAATATGTACTCAAAAATGATAACAATTATTATTAAATGTAATAATTCCTCCCGTTGGTTTCCAGCCTGGCACTGTTCCCAGCTGCTTCCTGTTCTTGGGCTTTTTATTCTAATTACCTGGCAGTTTAAAGCTAAAAGGGCAGGATAATTCAAAGAGCTGGGAGAATCTGCCCTTTACAATGGAAACAGTGGGCAAAGGTTTTTCTTAATTCCACATTCTAAAAATTGTTGCTTTGCATGCAAAGGAGGAGGAAAAGCATGTGGCCAAATACCTCATTTTCCAGGTGGAAAAATGGAAGGCAGTGAGAGATGAGTGACTTTCTCAAGGTCACAGACCACAGGACCCTTCCTTGATAGAAAACATTTAACCCTACCTCACAGGATTGATGTGAAAATCAATTGAGAATATACATGAATGTATTTTTTTTAACCGCAAAGCAGAAGAATGTAAAAGATACTGCTTTTGTTCTTTTAAAAAAAGGTCAAAACCTATATTGCTGTTACCACAGTGGTACAGGAACACAAAGAGAGAGCACTTTCTGGGGGGATGTGAGTCATTGTGCGGCATAATAGCTGATAGCCTCCTTCCCAGAGAGAATGCACACAACTTATGCAGAGAGCTCCGGTTTCCTGGAAGACATCCTGTGGCTGGCAGCGGGTGGAAGTTGGAGAAGGAGAGAGATGGGGAGTGAAGTGGGAGGGGACTGACTGGCCAACATTGGAAACAAACACGGTCTCACGTGTCCAGAGCTTATCCCAGGTAGAGCCCAGAGCAAGTGTGACAGGGGCCTGAAGGAAAGCCAAACCAAACCAGCTCTGTTTCCTTTGAAACAAATCCCTATGAAGTCATCCTTTGTGGAATTCTGATTTGAAGAGAGGTTCATTCTTTTTTTTTTTTTTTTTTTTCCTGATTGTATTTCTGCTCTTTCTGTTCCTCCCTAACAGCCTGGGCAGTTAAACCCTTTAGAGAGTTCACAGGAGTGAGCCTCCAGCTCTCTTCTAGGCCCCAGATGTTAAATGAAGTAGGGGCTGGGCACGGTGGCTCATGCCTGTAATCCCAGCATGTTGGGAGGCCGAGGCAGGTGGATCACCTGAGGTCAGGAGTTCGAGACCAGCCTGGCCAACATGGTGAAACACTGTCTCTACTAAAAATGCAAAAATTAGCTGGGTGTGGTGGCCGGTGCCTATAATCCCAGCTACTTGGGAGGCTAATGTAGGAGAATTGCTTAAACCAAGGAGATGGAGGTTGCAGTGAGCCGAGAATATGCCACTGCACTCCAGCCTGTGCGACAGAGCAAGACTCCATCTTAAAAATTAAAAAATGAAGTAGGCTGGGCTGCGCCCACTCTGGACACGTGGCCGACTGCCATCCCTGGCACTCTAGCCAATCTCTCCAATGCCAGAGGATAAAAAGGGAAATGTCTGTGAGGTGTTGGCAATGCCATTGTCAACGCAGGAGTGTGGACCCTTCATAAAGATCACGGTGCTCCTGATGCAACCAGAGCCCCCAACTCCCCCTGACTCACAATGAAAACTGAGAGTTTAGACCTTCTGCTCTCATTGGCACCACTGCTCCCTGTCCACCCCACTACGTTCTGCTGGTTACTCTGACAAAGAAATTTCCTATATTCATAGTTATTCACTATAAGAATTTTCATCACATAATTCTTTTTCCTGATAGTAGCTACCTAAGCCTTATGATGTTTCAAACTCAGAGCGTGTTTTCAATAAACATATGGGAAAGAACACCGACGTAGGACTCAGAAGACCACAAATCAAATCCCAGCTTTGCCAGAAAGTTGCTCTATGAATCTCAGTCATTTTTCTTATCCCTGTAGGTTCGTTTCCCTCATCTGTAAAATGGGAATATCACCTAGATACTATGAGGCTCCAATGAGACACTGCACATAAGAAACAGTAAACTATTAATATACAAAGAACTGTTAGCATCTTAAAACGTATTTTTTCCCAGAGCTATCCTGTATACACAGATATTTTTCTTTACCTGTTATTGGCAAATACTTGATTTGCAAGTCTTCTCCTACTTTCTGTTTTATAGGATAAACTCTATATGTCAAATCTAATCTTCAGAGTAATCTGTAACTACCTGTCAAATAGTTATTTCATTCCGACATCACCCCAACTCCATTCCCAGAATTAGTGCTGTGCGCTATGTAAGAGGTCTTCCTGATACATTTACCAATAGGCAAATTGCAGAAAACTATTTCAAGGACTTCTGTCAACTTTGTGAATGCTAGGACCAGAACTTCAGAACTCTAGCATTCGTAATGTTTGCTTAATGTTTGTAAAGAAGTTTGCAATTTACAGAGCACTTTCAAATCCACTTTTTCACTAGGTAATTCCAACCCTATTAAATAGGTAAGACAGTGATGATGTCCACTTTACAGATGAGAAAACTGAGGCTTGAAGAAGTTAAATAACCTGCCAAAAAGCCACACAGCTAGATATCAACAGAGTGATGACTTGCTGCAAATCCAGTGGCATCTCTGAATGCCATTTACCCCCTCTTTTTTTAGCCAAGAGCAGATGATGCCCCTTCCTCTTGCCTTCCTTGCATCCCAGCAGCCCTTCTCCTCTTCCTCTCCGTCACAATTGGCTTCTATCTATTGGTGTTCCAAGAAGGGGTATAACATCTGGCAGCTGCTTTTCTCGGCTTATGAGTATGCCCTTGGCTTGCCCTGTGTGTCTGCCACTACAGTGGCTTAGGTCCAGATTCATGTAGAGCTAACAGTTCTCAGCAAACAAGGAATGAAGGCTGCTAGACGAAAAGATGGCCCAGGCAATAACTGTGATAATAGTGGACTGGAAAAGACATATTTGGGCTCTGCCTGTGTTCTCAGGACCCAGCCCCAGATCAAGTCATGGTAACAGTGGTCCCAGCTGCTATTAGGCTAGTCATGGGATGGGCCGAGATAACATGGCCCGATCCTCAGGCCAGTGGCCCTGACTAATGAGCTCACCAGGAGGCATCTGTGCTTCCTAAAGCTGGGCGAGATTACTCAGGCCTTAGCCTCATCAAGACAGAAGAAGAGAGCTTCTTCACAGGTCCATACACTGGCCAGTTTCCTCAGGATTCTGGGTAAAAGGGAAGTTCCCTGGAGCCCCCACATGCTGTAGGATCTTAGTATCTCCACATAAAAGAGGAAACCCAGATCTCTGGCTGGGGCAGAGATCTCTCATGATCCTTTTTTTTTTTTTAAGACGGGGGCTGGCTGGAGTGCAGTGGGTGATAACAGCTCACTGCAGCTTCTATCTTCTAGGTTCAAGGATTCCTCCCACTCCAGCCTCCCAAATAGCAGGGACTACAGGCACATGCCAACATGCCTGGTAATTTTTTTTTTTTTTTTTTTTTTTTTTTGTAGAGACAGAATCTCCCTATGTTGCCCAGGGTGATCTTGAACTCCTGAGCTTAAAAGATTTTCCCGCCTAGGCCTCCCAAAGTGCTAGGATTACAGGCGTGAGTCACTGCACCTGGTCTCATGATCTTTAGTTTCCTCCTGCCCTCATGTTTCACTCCCTCTGCCTGCCTGCTGAGACCTTCTGGAATAGATTCTATTCTTTCTGATCTCTACTCTCCTTGTGTTTCTTAACCATGCCGGACATCCCTCTCTAAGGTACCTCACTCTTGCCTCAGGCATTCCCACCTCTAGGCTTTTCCAAACACTGTTCTACTCACTCCCTTGGGAAAACTTCCTGCTCCTTTGCTGATCTTCCTTTGTTGAAGGCCAGTTAGAAGTCTACCTCCTCCATGAAGCCTCCTCTGACTACTCCAGTACCTCATGGTCTCACCCTTCTCTAAATTTACTTATTCTTTAACTGTTTTGTAAGTGTTAGTTCTCCCTGGTCCTACCGTACCCCCAACTCTAGATGGTCAGCCCTGTAAGAGCTGTGATTGTGTCTTATTTCTTTTACAACCTTTTACTGTCTGTGAATTCTGGGCACCTAATAGGATTTTCACGTCACTTCACCCTCATCAAATGCCTGGAACTGGATGAACAGACATGTAAAAAAAGCTGGCTGGACACTGGCTCACACCTGTAATCCCAATACTTTTGGAGGTCGGGGCACAATAATTATTTGAGACCAGTCCAAGACTAGCCTGGCAACACAGCAAGATCCTATCTCTAAAAAAAGAATTAATATAAAAGGCCATGGTGAAGATTGCAACCTTTTTTGGGAAAACAGGACATAAATGTGTTTATCCATGAGACCGGGAAGCAGTCTGGGGCTAGATAATAAAAGTCTGGAAGAACAGGTGAAAGGGTTTGAGCCATACTTTGTAGACAATGGAGTCAGTAGAGGTCTTTTAAGCAAGAAAGAGGAGACATGT